ATCTGGATAGTTACTCGGATATCCGTTTTTTTTTCGGATACGGATACTAAAACGGATATCTTAGGCGGATATCAAATACGGATGTAATATCATCGATATCCGGCGGATATCGGATAATCCGGATAAGTATCGGATATATCCGGATATTTAAAAACGGATATTATCCGGATATTTATTCAAAATTTAAAAATCACAAATTTGAACCATCCAAACTATCTCAAATGGAAAGTTGACCAAAACAACAATTGTAGATCTTGATGAGTTGAATAAACTTGGTATTCAAAACTTTTCAATTTGAAGTCATTTAGAGTTCATAATACTAGAGTCAAAGTGTTGTTTTTTCATTTGACCAAATTTGACTTGGTCAAACTTGCTCAAATGAGACACTAAATGACCTCAGATTAAAAAACTCCGAATACCAAGTTTGATCATCTCAGCAAGATCTACAATTGTTACATAGCTCATTTTCCCATTTGAGAAAGTTTTATTAAACACTAGTCATAAATTCTTGAATCCATATAGACTTTTCGAAACTATGTCACACACTTGTGAAATTTGAACTATATTTTGTTCAAACTTTCTCAAATGAAAAATGGCCTATATAAGGATTGTATATCTTGATGAGATGAACAAATTTGGTATTCAAAACTTTTCAATTTGAGAGAAAACTAGTTTGTAAACGTCGAAATTTAAAATCACAAATTTGAACCGTCCAAACTATCTCAAATGGAAAGTTGACCAAAACAAAAATTGTAGATCTTGATGAGTTGAACAAACTTGGTATTCAAAACTTTTCAATTTGAAGTCATTTAGAGTTCATAATACTAGAGTCAAAGTGTTGTTTTTTCATTTGACCAAATTTGACTTGGTCAAACTTGCTCAAACGAGACACTAAATGACTTCAGATGAAAAAACTCTGAATACCAAGTTTGATCATCTCAGCAAGATATACAATTGTTACATAGCTCATTTTCCCATTTGAGAAAGTTTTATCAAACACTAGTCACAAATTCTTGAATCTCATCCTATGTCACACACTTGTGAAATTCGAACTACATTTTGTTTAAACTTTCTCAAATGAAAAAATAGCCTATATAAGGATTGTAGATCTTGATGAGCTGAACAAACTTGGTATTCAAAACTTTTCAATTTGAGACAATCTAGCGTTAGAAAACTAGTTTGTAAGCATCGAAATTTAAAATCACAAATTTGAACCGTCAAACTATCTCAAATGGAAAGTTGACCAAAACAAGAATTGTAGATCTTGATGAGTTGAACAAACTTGGTATTCAAAACTTTTCAATTTGAAGTCATTTATAGTTCATAATAATAGAGTCAAAGTGTTGTTTTTCATTTGACCAAATTTGACTTGGTCAAACTTGCTCAAATGAGACACTAAATGACCTCAGATGAAAAAACTCTGAATACCAAGTTTGATCATCTCAGCAAGATATACAATTGTTACATAGCTCATTTTCCTATTTGAGAAAGTTTTATCAAACACTAGTCACAAATTCTTAAATCGGTGGACTTTCTAAAACTATGTCACACACTTTGAAATTTGAACTACATTTTGTTCAAACTTTCTCAAAATGAAAAAATGACCTATATAAGGATTGTAGATCTTGAATCCATGACCATGACTCCATGAGACCCATGAAGCAATGTGCTTGGCTATTTCTACTCATGCCAAGATTGATTGGTGTTTATATGATGTTTGATGTATGATGATCAGTATCTTTATCTTATTTGTTGCTTTACTCTTTAGTCTTTCGGCTTAATCTAGATGGATTATGGACTCATAGAGTGGTGTAATGGTTTGCACGTATGATATATATATATATATGCTTGCTTTTACTCAAGGAATAGATATTTGTATCACCTTCTCCGAATCCGATTCATACCATATTCGATACTCATTATTCGTGATCCGTGGCGAAGTCAATCCGTATTCAGTATATGTATCCGAACGATCCGTGTCCGAATCCGAATCCGAACAGAAATATGAAAACAAATATAATATGAGTGATATCCGTTTGTATCCGATCCGTTTTCATCCCTACTGATCGGAATGAGTAAGATCATTGAACTCGTGAACTCTTGGATCACGACGGCTAGGAAAGATACGCCTCAGCATCTCAACATCACTCTCTATCAGCTCTCCAACAGGGTGGTCATCATCAGAATCAAGAGCCCTTACCATCTCATATGGCTTCGAATCATGCATAATTTCAACACTATTGGAGCCACGGAATCCATCTCCAAAATACACTTACGCAGCAACAGAGGGCACACATTCTCAGGAATGTCTCCTGCAACATAAGTAGAGAAATGAGGAAAGAATGAAAGAAATGGATGGAAGGAAGGGGGTAAGCTCCCAATAAGCATGCGGTTAAGACACTTACTCGGATGATTCTGTGTCAAAGGGATCTCATGAGGAGGATCTGCCACAAGAACATGAGTCTGACAAGCTTCTTCAACTACCGCATTGGGGGTAGATTGAGCATCGGGAACCATAGGTGCAACCTCCACATCCATATCAGGTTCCGGGATGGGAGGATCGATGTGTGCCTGCTGATCCATTGGTGGGAAAACCCATGAGGGATGGAATCAACTAACACCCGACGCACAACCACGTCTAAACATTGCAGCTGGCTCTTCATAGCCGATCTCACATAGTTCTCCCACTGATCTACACAACCAATTGGGATCATTCGCCTGAGAATGTTGGGAGGAGAACCTAGGTGCAATACACCATCAATTGCAATGCCATCATCTCCAAGGCAATGCAGCTCCTCCCGAGCTCGTGCAAGCATCTCACTAAATGAAGGACTATCATTGAATAGCACAGACATGCTTTGCATGTCAAGAAACTCAACATATCCATAGCGATCATATTCAACGGTGCCTCCATGATATATGGTCACTAAGTTGTCCATCTAGTTCAAACACATAACGAAACACATGTCCTTTAGTCCAAATTAGACGCTAGATAGTACCTAACAAGTACTTTCTAACTACAAACTAAGTAAATAAGATAACAACTACATACATAGATACAGTGTACTAACTAAATAGCTAGGTCCTATTTAGTTAACTAAATATATAACTATCTATCTAAGTAGCTATCTAACTATATCTGTGTACCTATGTATCTATGTTTCTATCTATCTACATATATATCTCACTAGATCACTAACTAAATCAACTATCTAAGTCATCACATTAACTAGTAAATAACAAATGCCAACTAAGTAGGTACATTTCATATTCACAATTTTTACCTTTGCAATGGATCGATCATGGACGTCAGACGGGCAACTAATTAGGCGAGGTCAAGGCGTGGTGGTGCGGACGGCACGACTGCAGGCGCGACGGACGACGTGTCCATACATCACATCCTGATCACGGCACGGCAGCCACGCTGTGGCGCAGGCCGGCAACGCTGTGCCTTGCGGTGGGCACCGGCGTGGTAGATGGCAAGGCGCTTGCCGAGGAAGAAGAAGGGAAGGGGCCTTGCAGCCATGGGGCTCGGGGCCGGTGTGGGGTGGAGAGGCAGTACGACGCGAGCTCGGACGAGGCGCGACCTCGGTGGTGGTGGGCATGGGTGACGGGTGGTGAGCATGCGTGGGCTGATGGGGCGGCGGTGGGGTGCTCGCTTCGGCTGCAAGAGGGAGATGCGAGAGAGAGGGAGAGAGGAAGAGAGAAAGGATTGGGGCCCATACGTAATAAAGGCTCGGCGCCATTCACCCTGGCGCCGAGCTCGGCGTCAAAATCTACGGCGCCGAGCTCCATGCCATGTCACCTCCACGTGGGTCTCGAGCCCAAGAGCTCGGCGCCAGGGACGTGTTAGCTCGGCGTCAATGAGGGTCCAGATTCTAAAATCTTTCCTCTAGGGACATATTTGTGAAAACTTTAAAAAAAAGGGCTAAAAATAAAAAATTCACATCCTCTCCCACTTTTGATTCCCACCTCTCCATTCCCAGCGGCTATAAATCCCCGCGTCGCCGCTGCGCCAACCCCCCTCCTCTCCTCTCCTCTACTCTTCCTCGGCCGCAGATGCGCTAGCATCTCTCCCACCGCCAACAGGAGGAGGAGCGAGAAGCACAGTGACACAGACAGAGAGGGACCCCCGCACCTACACTAGCTAGCCAGCCACAGCCACCGGCCACTACCACCACCACCACCGATCGATCGAATCGGGTGCGTGCTGCTCCGGCCGGCCGCTCGCTTTATAAGCCAGCCACCCAGCCCCGCCCGATCGCCATCGCCATTGCCTCGCCTCCGTCCGCGCACACCCGCCTTGCCAGTAGGCACCCCCTTCTCCTCCGGCCTCGCCGCCGCCGCAAAACCGCCGCCCGCCGCCGCGCAGGCCGGTTGCTCCGATTGGGAGTGCCAATCGGAGCCAAAAGCAGGGGAAGCACATGCTGCCGTTCGTCCTAGAGTTCCTCATTGATGTCGCCTGTGATCAGTGAGATCCTCCTCTCGGGGTTTATGATCAACTCCACACTCCGGCGCCGCACCCATCTCGTCCAGTCCTTCTCCGTCGTCTTCCTCTACTGGTTCTATGTCTTCTCATAAACTACTCGCCCCCATCATCGCCACGCCTCTCTCCCACTCTCTGCCTTCTTCTTCCTCTTCCCCTTCCATCTAGTAGCATCGATCGTCCTTCTCTTCTCTTCTCTCCTTGTCAGTCTCTGCCTTCGTCGTCGTCGTCGTCTCTGTTTCAGTCGTTTCCTAAAGCTTTAGCTTGCATGCACTTCCCTACTGCTGCTGTTACTAGCAAAGACCTTTATTAGTAGTGTTATAAGTTATTAGGAACAAGGAGAAGAAAGAAAGAAATCGAGGCCAAGAAAAAAGAGACCTTTCATTTCTCTGCTAGTGTGGTGTGGTGTTATCTTGTGTAGTAAGGAAAGAAGGGATCAAGAAGCAGAGAGCTGCTCTGTTTTTTTCTTGCAAGAAAGGGCGGTTCTTGTCGGACGGAACACAGGAAGAAGAGAATGGCTTCCTCCAGCGGGAGCGGGAGCGGGTGCTCGGGCTCTCTCTCGGCGGCGACGGCGGCCCTGGCCGCGGCGGCGGGCACAGAGGAGGAGCTGCGCGCGCTCATGGAGCAGCGCCGCGCCAAGCGGATGCTGTCCAACCGCGAGTCCGCGCGCCGGTCGCGGATGCGCAAGCAGCGCCACCTCGACGAGCTCACCGCGCAGGCCGCGCACCTGCGCTGCGAGAACGCGCACGTCGCCACCGCGCTCGGCCTCACCACGCAGGGCCTCCTCGCCGTCGACGCCGAGAACGCCGTCCTCCGCACCCAGGCCGCCGAGCTCGCCGCGCGCCTCGGCTCCCTCAACGACATCCTCGCCTGCATGAACACCAACGCCGCCGCGGCCGCTTCTTCCTCCGACCCCTACCTCGCCTTCGACGGCGCCACCGCCTTGGACGACCTCCTCAGATCCTGCCCCGAGAATATGTACCAGCTCTGCTAGCTCCACACTGAGGTCACCATGGCAGCACGAAGCATCGAGAGGAGGGGAAAAACATATTTTTCTTGTTCTTTGCTTCTGGTGTTTCAGGTTAGTAATCTGCTAGTGAGATGGAACGGAATGTCAGATCAGACGTGGTGGTGAGCCATGAAACTTAGTGTTACTGTACTGTGCTATTATCAACTGGGGCACTGCACCTAATTAGCTAAGCTAGCTGCTGGGGTTATGGTTAATGAACTACTACTAATTACCTGGTGTAAGTGTAACTCAAGGTCTGCTCTTGTTACTGCTTTCATGTACTGTGTCACTCCACTACTATGTAAGAATCAGAGCAGTAACCTTACTAGTATCTCTGTCAGGAAGTGCACCATATCTACAGTTTAATTACTCTACCTGTGTGCCTTGCATTAATCATAATGTTCAGTTCATGCCTGTCAGTTTTTCTCTTTATTTTTTATGAGCAAGATTTATCTTTTCCTGTGCCTCTGAATTATGCTGTGATACTGTGCTATATATAAATTACAGTCAGGCTCCAGAGGTGGCTGTGTGCTGTCTGTGAGCTTCAGATTTTAACAGCTGCTAATACATTTTTCTGATGCCCATGGGCAAGTGGTGCACACGTATATTGTCTACTATTCACCAGCACAAAGTTGCTCTTTTATCAGCCTGTTTGCTTGCTCATAAACGATCGTAAATTTCCAGCCAGGAACAATGTTTTTCTTTCACGCCAAACCAGCCAGCATTAAATAATCCACGATACGGCCTCCCGAACAGGCTGTATATTCTTCAAGGTAGTGGGAATAATCGGAGTGACAACAGCCAGTCTTTTATGGCGGGGAATAGAATAGAATAGAATAGAAGAATAACTGGCCTCATTTTCCTGTTTCACTTTTATTTCTGTGGGTTTGGTTGAGTACAGTATCGATGCCCATTGTGCTTGGAGAAAGAGATTCTCCAAATTACCCTCTTTGTTCTCTTCTCTCCCACTCTCAGCCAGCCAGCCACTGTGCCTTGTGTTCCCTTGTTTTTTTCTTGAGAACTTGATTGTACCAGAAGACCACTTTCTAGTTGTTCTCATGGCCCAGCACTGTTGTACATTGGTACTGCCAGTGCAATGATCCCTCCCTGCAAGCTAATGGCAGCAGCACTAGTGCTACCCTAGCCCTCAGTGCCATCTATGTAGCTCTGCTCGGCTTAGCAGCTCTCAGTCTCTCAGTCCCACGGCACACAGATATTTCAGTTCATTGCACTCCATTCCATCATCAGGACACGGCTCACATGATCTCTCTCTTGGTACCCACCAAGCCACATGCTACCCTCTGATGATTCTGCTGCTGCAGCTGCCACACACACACAAATCTGATTTTCCAGTGGCTATCAGCATGTTCGCTTGTTCGTAAACGATCGTAAATTTTCACCTGGAAACAGTGTTTTTCTCTCACACCAAACCAGCCAGCAGTAAATAATCCACGATACGATACGGCCTCCCGAAAAGGCTGTATAACTGGAGCTGCAGATCACCAACTACTACAAATCCCCAAATGGCCACTGGCAAGTATGATGCATGGTGCTCTTGTATGGTCACTATGGCATTGGCATGCAATGGAGTGGACCACTGGCACTGCCTCTGCAAACGCAATTGGTGCAATGGACCTGCAATGCCTGGGGCTGGGAGGTAGCAGCTACACATTGATGGAATAGAGTAGAGCCAACCAGCTCTCTCTCTCTCTCTCACACACACAGGGGAACAGGGGAGGGGATTGCTGCACAAGCCATTCTGCAAAGGGGAGGGAATCAAGGCCAAGGATGTGGTCACCTCCTTGCAGCCCAAGCCTCCACCTTTCTTCCTCTCCATCCATCCATCCACACAGAGGGGGATATGTCAAGAGCCGCCCGGAATATTCTCCATCCCCGGAGTGGCCATTGTTGCCGTCGAGGTGGTCGCCGGTCGGCGGCAGATGCGCCGACGATCATCTGAAAGCCGGTGGATAAGAAAAGGACCTCACTGCCGGTTCAAGGGTTTCAGACTCAGCATCAGAAATGGTGCTAACTAAATGATCTACGTATATGCAATGTTATCCTAAATGTTAAACGGTAAACAGTCAATCACTCTCATTTAACCATTATTCGGGTAAAACGGCAACTTAAGTAAAGCAGCCAACATTTAGTAGTGTGTAAACGGGCTAAATGATCTCCTGATATGGTGGATGATAAATAAATGGGTCCATTTCTCAAGTTTTCTTCTGCTTAGTAAAGCAAATCACTCACCCATCTTTCTGCTTGATCTGGCTACCTGATGTGCATATGTTTCTGCACTTCGTTTCTCTATAAACAAAGTGCAAGTTGCTTGCTGGAGGAAAACTGGGATGCCTGCAGAAGTAGAACAAGAACAGTGGAATTTTGGTTTTCTTGGTGGTGGTAGTATCTCTCTAGATTCTTCAGGTACTCGATGGCATGGCACCAGAGTCACTGCATTACTTAATGATATTTTGCCATCACTTGGTGTGCCAAAGTTCTGCTTGTTTGTTATAATAAAGATGTGTGGAGGGTTGGAGAAGCCAGAGAAGATATTTTCTCCATGTTGTACTATGTACCTTAACATGAGTTACCTCTGTCCTTACACATCTGGCACTAGTAATTTACACAAAGAGTAAAGCAAAGAGGAAATTAACCATTTTTGTAACTAACACGCAGGAGAACCGTGTGTCATTGCAAAGAGGAAAAGAATCCCAAAGCCGGTGATTGTTGCTTTTGGATCATAGTTTCTCTTGAGTCCAAAGGCAGGTCCATGCAGTACACACTACACACATGAGATGAGACTAGGGAACCTGACAAGACATAGGCCGCGTTTAGTTCCGGCCGGATTCGGCGGCGGCTGAATTCGGTAGTACTGTAGTGCACTGTAGCGTTTTGTTTTTATTTGATAATAATTGTTTAATCGTTGACTAATTAGGCTCAAAACGTTCGTCTCTCAAAGTACAACAAAACCGTGCAATTAGTTTTTGATTTTGTCAACATTTAGTACTTCATGCATGTACCGCAAGTTTGATGTAACGAGGAATCTTCTTTTTACATAGTGCCAAATTTTGAATTTCCGTGAAACTAAACATGGCCATAGCTCCAAAAGCTACAATCAGTGGCCAGGAGACTAGGGAATTTCATTTGCTTGTGGGGTTGTCAGGTTTTTCTCTTATATATTTGCAGAGAAATAATGTGGAAAAGAATATGAGTAAAGAATATAATCTTTTTTTTCTTCTGTAAAATGGGTCTGCACCACAAATATGACTAACAAGCCCAGAAATATCTTATCGATCTGGAGATGCAAAGTTCATGCAGAATAAAAACTTTTGAAAAATGATAAAATTAAGTAACCGAATAAGACTTGGAATAAAGGCCCATAGAATGAAGAGCAAAATTTATATAGCACAAAGCGCGCTAAATGCGGTATAAGACTGTTTCTTGTCAATGATAAGAATTTCTTAACAGTGTATTAGTAGCTCAGATCCTATCAAAGCATGGTGGCATGGTGATTCGTGTACACACGATCTATCACGCGTAAATATGGCCTGAAAAGAGTTAAATATGGTCTCTTGATTCCTTATTGCGGAAACCAAGGCAGAACTGTACTTGTGCCCGTTTGAATACTGCTTAGGACATGGGTTATGCATGCACTAATCTGTCTGTGTGTCGCCTATGCCCATGTGACCGGTGATGCCTGATGCTTAGCACTCATACATATGGGGGAGGCTTGGAGACAAAGGCTGCTGTGATCATGTTCAATCACATTGCTCCGTCAGTAGTTTGTACAGGTCCCCACATCAGATTCAGTCATTGTTAACTGAATCCTTTGAAGGACTAGAAGTTCAATTTACAAGTTGTGGAAGTGTGTAATATGAAATGTGCATGTAAAAGGATTTTCTGCATGAAATTGCACTCCGATGCTGGAGGAGCTCGCCGCCTCGCTCGTCGTGAGCCGGCCAATGAGAGCAGTAACATCTGAGTGTCTGCCTGCTACGACAGTCCCTCAGGAGGTTGAAGCAACAGTGGCGGACACCTGTTCCCGGCGACGGCTGCTCGGTGGACGACGGATTTGTCTCTGATGTCGCCAGTGCAAGGGCCGCCACAACTCACGCCACCACGAGCGGGAGCAACCGATGTCCCAGATGGTTGCACCACACCCAGCGACGCGACGCCCACACCACGCGAAGCTGGCCGACGTCTCGCACGGTTCACTGAGGAGGTGCAGCTCGAGCGAATATCGCCATTAATCGCCAGCCCACCTAGGTAGAAGATGGCAACCATAAGGCAACCCCGCAAAAACGGAGCAGACGGATTGCCGCTCAGCCGCTGGCGCACATTCCGACCTCCAAGCGGGGCGAGGTGCGCCTCATGTAGAGGATGGGCTTTGCACCGCCGACAGCTTCAATCTCATCCGCGTCCAAGCGAGCTTACGACGACTTTTTCGCAATGAACTTGACGTCGAGCGAAGTGGAAGCACTGGATGTGCTGTTCCCGGCGACCAATGCTAGGACTAGTAGAAGACTCTTCTCGGATGATGGAGCATGATCGCGCGGCCAGTAGCGGAGATGCCCAGCTCCATAGGTTACTACGCTGCTCTTAGTTCGGTTGTTTACTTTTATGTAATATCGAAGTTTGAGGAAGGTCCAGTCACAACTGTAAGACCTCCTAGGGCGCTCATTAGAAGCGTGTCGTGTGTATGGTTAAACTCTTCTTTTTAATTACAATGATGCGCAAATCTTTTGCGTATTCGAGAAAAAAAAGAAATTGCACTCCAATCTTCCCTTTCACAGGGAAAAGAGTTTAAAAAAACATATCATGAAAGGTCCTTGGTAGATTTCTAATTGATTGAAAGATGCATTTTGTTAGGTTTTTAAACCGAAACAAGCAAGGAATAAGTTGATTGAAAGATGAACCGTGCTTTATAAAGATGACCCCCAATTAATCCCCACGTAGAACTGCACCAGATACTGAACGACGAATTT